TTTTAACAATAAAGACTAAAAAAACTTTATTTTAAAGCTAACAAAAATAAGTAAGTAAATAAAGTTATTTGTCTCCTTATCTCTGGAGTCATTCAAAGTATAATAAAACCTTTCTTATCTTCCCTGGAGACATAGTTAAAGGTTCAGACCTTCCACTGCTGCCTCAGGAGAGAATCTGTTTACATCCCAGAGAAAAAGAAAAAATAGTCTGTCTTCCCAGAGTAAATGTGCCAGCTCCTGTCAATACATAATCTCTGAGTTCTTTTTCTCCCAAGTTCGCTATAAGTACAGGTGTAAGCGTATCGCTCTCATCCTTTTTGCTCTGTGTAGAACTGGAAATGGGGATCTAGTATACCATGTTACCCTGGCCCCTGGCTATGTAGTCTGATTTCTGATTTGTCTGGTGTTTCTTGCAAGTATCTATGCAGATTGGGTAACATCTGAGACCTTCAGAGTGTTGGACTTACCCCTTTCTTACATACATGGTACTCTGCTATACTCTAAACACTTGATTTAGTCACTTACTGTATTCTGAAAAATCAATGTGACAAAATTTTAATAGACCAGTTAGTCAATACATTTTAATCAATGATATTTTAGGAATATTTAAATAAACTATAAAAAATTGCCCATAATGATCCAATAAATTCCTTAAAATTTTAGTGTAAAAATTACCTTAAGTTTATACTTATTTTTCTGTTATCAGAGTTTACTAACTCAATTTTTCTCCAATTGCATTTTTATATAGTCTTAAACCTTGATCTTTCCAGTTGACAAAGAAGCACATTTCAAGTATAATTGTGGATCACTGGTCTCAATCAAAGCATTCTACATAAAGAACAAATTTAAGTAGCAAGGCAAGTAAAGCAATATGTTCTAAATGTAAACTTTCAGTTCATATACAAGTGTTCTGAAAAATATAAATAAAAATGAGGCTATTGCCTCTTTGGAATTCTACTTGACATTTATCCCACCCTCCACCTTAAGTTTCTTCTTCTCCTAAGTGTTGGTATTGTCCTAGAACCCTGGGTGGCCTATATGTTAACAACTCTTAGGTCTGTACTTCCCAGGGGCTCAAGTTCCTACAACTATATACTGAAGACTCAGTTATGAAGGGCATTTGCCTTGTTAAATTAGATTATCTTCTGAAAATTTGCTCTTCCTGCCTACTCAGATGGTGGTCAGATTAGACTTACCGTAGAATGAGGTGGGGGAAAAAGAGATCAGGGAATAAAGTTTGTAGTTTTGCTGATTATTACCAAATTAACTATCACCACGTCCCACTGACTTCACCTCCTCAGCATTAGAAAGAAAGTCTCTTTGCTCTCTCTAATCCACCGCCCTAGATGGTACAAAGGCCACACAAAGGTTTCTCCATGTTCCTGGACTGCCACGAAGCTGTCACCTTCACTAGAAAGAGCACTCCGGTACCAATTTAATCACATCAACTGCCTTCCGGCAGCCCTCTGTTGAACAGTCAAGTGTTGCTCAATTAGGACAGCAAGCCAAGCTAAAAGTAACAATCCAGCATTTATTCACTTACTGCGACAGTGCAAGCAAGAGGCAGAGAGAGGCACCAGCTCCAGAACGCTTCATTCCCTTCCCTGCCATGCAACAGCCCCAAGTGAGGGGCAGGTGCTCAAAGCTCAGATGCACACTGCCATCACATTCCAAGGAACACCAAACAGAAGGCTCCTGCCTCTTTAGGGAATGGTGGGCTGGGGTGAACGAAAGAAGGAAGGGTTGGGAGTGGGAAGGGACTGAGTCAAAGCACACCTAAGAGGCTCTTATCAGAAGTACCTAGGAGGTGCCTCAGTTAAGGTCCCTGATAATGAAGCCTGGAATGGAGACAACAGGGCTAGAAATGTAGGTGTACACAGAGCATGTTTGGCCTAAGGGACTGACTGAGAGGGAGGAGGGGCCTGAGTCCTTGACCTCAATTTTCTCTAGAAAACTGCAATGCGCTGGCTGTGCACCAAGTCTGGTGTGGACCGGGCACCTTCCCCCTGTAAGGCCTGCCAGGCAAAGCCTTGTAATTGCCTATGGTTGGGTCTGAAAGATGACACAAGGATTTTTTTTTAAATATATTTTTAATTGATTTTTTACAGAGAGGAAGGGAGATAGTTAGGAACATCCATAAGAGCCGAAACCGGTTTGGCTCAGTGGATAGAGCATCGGCCTGCACTGAAAGGTCCCAGGTTCGATTCCGGTCAGGGGCATGTACGGTGGTTGCGGGCACATCCCCAGTAGGGGGTGTGCAGGAGGTAGCTGATCGATGATTCTCTCTCATCGATGTTTCTAACTCTCTATCCCTCTTCCTTCCTCTCTGTAAAAAACCAATTAAAAAAAAAAAAAGATTTTAAAAAAAGAAAAAGAAACATCCATAAGAGAGTCATCATCGATCAGCTGCCTCTTGCACGCCCCCTACTGGGGATGTGCCCACAACCAAGGTACATGCCCTTGACCGGAATTGAAGCTGGGACCCTTCAGTCTACAGGCTGATGCTCTATCCACTGAGCCAAACCGGTTTCAGTGACACAAGGATTTTGCGGTGGATCTGGACTCCTCACCCTTCAGTGGCCTTCCGGAAGCCTAAACGTCTTCACAGGGTAAACAAAAATCCCTTCATCTGACCGGGCCGGGCCTACTTCTCTGCCCTCATCTGCTGCTTCACATTTGATACTCCAGTAAAATGCTTTCCAAACTATTCTCACCTCCATGCCTCCGCTCACACAGTTCCCACTATTCCCCCACCTTCCATTTCTTCACCAAGCAAACTCCTTATGCTTTCGGACTCCTCCCCAGTGTCTCTTCCTTCAGGGAGGCTTCTTAGTAAATACTCACCCTCATTCTAGACAAAACTATCCCCTACCCCGTGGGTCCGTAAGCCCCTGTGCACACATACTTCTAGTTCACGTACCACATGATATTTTGTTTATATCTCTCTCTACAACAAAATACTAAACTCCTAGAGCAGTGGTTCTCACAGCCTTTCTAATGCTGCGACCCTTTAATACAATTCCTCATGTTGTGGTGACCCCCAACCATAAAACTGTTTTCGTTGCTACTTCATCACTGTGATTTTGCTACTGTTAATGAAGCGTAATGTAAATATCTGTGTTTTCTGGTGGTCTTAGGCTCTACAGCAGCGGTTCTCAACCTGTGGGTTGAGACCTAGAGAACAAAAGCCACACCCTCAAAAAAAAAACAAAAAAAGCCGAAACTGGTTTGGCTCAGTGGATAGAGCATCGGTCTGCGGACTGAAAGGTCCCAGGTTAAATTCTGGTCAAAGGCATGTACATTGGTTGAGGGCACATCCCAGGTGGGGGGGGTGCAGGAGGCAGCTGGTCAATGTATCTCTCTCATCGATGTTTCTAGCTCTCTATCCTTCTCCCTTCCTCTCTGTGAAAAATTAATAAAATATATATTTTTTTTTTAAAAAAAAAAGCCGCACCCTCTTCTGTTTTGAATCCCCAGTGATTAACAGGTATTTGGCGCAGGGGAGAAACATGGAGAATAATCTTGGAGGAATTAGTGTTCTACACACCAGCATTAGCACAGAATAAGGAAGACACCCCAACAGAAGGATTGCATGACACACGCCCCACAGGCTAGCCAGTTCAGAGAACAGGGTCCCCAGCACTGACTGCCACTCCACTTCTAAGGCCCAACTGCTGTCAAAATCTCCCTGTTATCAGGCTGTCCAAGGTGCACCTGCAGCTCCAGGATTTGCTGTCAAACTTATCAAAGACAATATTATCTGCCCTTCCCCCGACTGTCAAAGAATCTGCTTTGTTTCTTCAACCTCATTTTTGGATCAAAGACAGTCATCAGGTATCCATTGTTCTTACAAATATCAATTCTATTTCTTGGTCATTTTGCTAAGCTTTTAATGGCCCTTCCCCCACCCCACCTCACCCCACCCTCCAGGATACCCCTTCTCTGTCCCCTTATAAGGCAGTCCACCAGCTATTTGGAATTCCTTCTTCAAAAGACCATCTTTCATTCCTTATAATTGGCTTCTTAGCCTAGAGGCATCAGGATGTTGGTTGTTAGGATCCTTTCTAAAGACCTTTCAAAGATATGAGTATTGGGGCATTTAAAAGTATCCATTTGCAAAGTGATAAACACGCTTTTCACCTGTATGTTTTCAGTTTTCTGTAATTTAACTTTCACCCAATTTTTCTGGGAATCCAGTCAAACAAGAGGGGAACCAAGTGGAAGACAAAGATAGCCAATGTCAGCAAAGATCTTAGTTGTGTCAGGCCTATATCAAGGTTAAATTGGGAATGTTTATGTAAACTCATGTTCTTAACAAGTCATAGTTTCTAGCTTTGTCATCAAAGAGAATACAAGACTTCATTCAGAGGTAAATTGCAGATAGGTCTGAATCTCAGGCCTAAAGATTCCATGCCAGCGAAGTTAACTTAAATTCTCTCTCTCTCTCTCTCTCTCTCTCTCTCTCTCTCTCCCTCCCTCCCTCCCTCCCTCCCTCCCTCCCTCCCTCCCTCCCTCCCTCCCTCCCTCCCTCTTCACTCCCACTCTCAACAAACATTCAAGTATGGGCTGCGATTATGTATTTGAACTCTTTCTGCATTTACTGAGCAGGCACAGAGCTACAGACTCCAGGGGGAAAAAAATCAGCCTGGGTGAGAAGGATGCTAGGTGCTTTAAAAATACTACTGAGAATAGCAAACATGAGCTTCTTACCTGGTAAAATACTCACTCCACAGGTAGAATAAAAAACAATAGTACAACCCACGTAGTTGTGTTATGTCGTCTCCTATTTTATATAGAGAACCTACATGTTTTTGTGTTACTTGCCATTTAAGAAATTTGATATCCTCTATGTGGGAAGATAGATCAGCAATTTATATGAAATTGATCCCTACAAATATAATGTTAAAATTCTAAAACATTTTAATGGATCATTGTTGTCTAAAATGAAATCACTAGATAACTAATAAGTAAAGAAGTGAATGGGTAACCCCTGTACTTACAAGAGAACATGAGCAATGATGGCATTCTCATCGAACAAGGTATCAGTGGGGAATTCTCTCAGCAATATGTTGCCTCTGTAAAAAGTTTGAAAAAGCATTACAAAAATAGTTCCTTAGCATTCCACTTACTTGTTTCTCTAATATACTAGACTATAAATTCTTCACTGTTAGAGCCTGTGTGTCTTATCTACCATGTACCTACCAATGTGCTGGCCATAATATACACTCAAATATTTATTGAATATAGACTAATAACTATGTCAACTTTGAAAAGCTTATGTCCTGGGTTTAGCAAAGAAAAAAACAAACAAAAAAAAAAACAAAAACAAAAACCAACAACTGGGGAATAAACATAAATCCAAACAGGACTTCCTAACCTCCCTGTCACGTATACACAGATACCCAAATTGGGCTCGGAAGGAGGAGAAAGAAGTATCCTCAGCAGTGGATTCTGGAGGAGACAGATTCTCTCCCCATTTCCCAGGCCAAATCCCAAGGGTTTGAGGACAGAGTTCTGAGAAACCTCAGTTTAGCAGACCCAAGTGCAGAGAGCTGTCTGTACCTGGACTTTGAGTATGTACATTTATTTCACACCAGAATATGGCCTGACCTGTCTATTTAAAATCCTACATTTTCTTTTGTTAATGTTTTTATTTGTTTTAGAGAGAAAGAGGAAGGGAGGAGAGAGAGAAACTGATTGGCTGTCTCTTACACATACCCTACTGGAGATGGAGCCCCCAGCCCAGGCACGTGCTCTGACCAGAATCAAAGAGGCCACCTCTTGGTGCACAGGAAAATGCCCAAACAACTGAGCCACTCCAGCCAGGACAAAACACTACATTTTCTAGTGCTTGCATGCCAGGCATTTGTAATAGGAGTTTACATAAGATCCTCATGCAATATTTTTAAAAACTCCTGTAAGATTATATTCTCATTTTATAGATAAGGAAGTAGGTAACAAATCTATTACCTGGACTTTTTACTAAGCTTCATATGACACACACATCCCCTCCCCAGCCCATGGCATACAACTTTACTCCGGGTTAGTGATATTTTATATTCTGAATATTCTAAAAGTATAGTTTTATATTTGTCCATTGCACTCAAAATAATAGTTTACCTGAATAAATATGCTTTCAGCAAATCCTTTTCTTTTCCACAGTATTTTGATGTTTCTTCCTTGACACAATTAACCTTTAAAAGATAACATTTAAAGTTTAGAGTGTATCAGAGTATAAACCAAGATGGCGGCATAGGGTAGACACCCGAATGCAGCCTACCACAACAAATTTGAATTTAGAACTGGAAAACAGGGGAGGTATTTCCCTGAAGCACTGGACGGCTAGCTGAGAGGAGGCTCTGCCATCTGGGAAGGAGAGAGAAGGCACGCTGAACCTCAGGAACTGTGAAGGTGCAGAGAACTGTGTGCGCGAAAAGGCGTTGGCTTAATCCCGGTGCACGAAAACGGAGGACCAGGCTGAGTTTGCTGCTGGCATACTCCTGGTGCACTGAGAGGGCGGACAGCTAATGCACAACTGGCTTTCTTGTTCGAGAGGAAAACAAAATCGCCCTATTGCTCTGATAGACGGCCCCAGACAGGGAGAGGCCAGACTGTCAGGCAGTGGGCAGAGATCTCTCCGAGGTGTGTGAAGCCAGAGGCCATTACTGCGGGACTTGGGGAGGAGCCGACAGGAAAGCAAAGCTTGTCTGCACCAACCCAAGACTCCACCCCATCCAAGCTGAGCACAGAAGCTCTCCCAGAGGCTGGCTTTCTCTAAGGAGGGACTGGCCGGAATCCAAAGCTGGTCTGCACCTTTACCAAAGAGGTGCGCGTGCCTGAAACCAATCTTCCGAAACTCACTGCAAACAGGACTTTTTTAAGGTGAGACTGACATGGAACCAAAGATTGTCTGAGCCATCCAGAGACCCCGCCCTAACCAAGCAGAGTACAGAAGCCTTCCTAGCTGAGACACTGCTGATCCTCACAGCCAATTGGCTTGGAGATCAACACTTCCCAGTGATAACAACAATAAGCAAAGCTTAACAACAAGACTGCACACACAGCCCACAAAGGGCTGCACCAAGACTGTCCACCGCAGGTAACTGGGAAGGCTGTGCTACTGGGCTCTACCAGAACACCTAGCACACAAAACTACTCCATCAAATCAGGGAAACAACTAAAATGCAGACAAGAGGCAGGACACAAAGGAAGGAGATGGAGGAAAAGAAAAGATTGGACATTGAGTTCAAAATTACAGTTATAAGGCTATTCAAGAAAATCCTAAAAAAAAGCCAATAAAATAAATGAGAACTATGACGATATGAAAAGGGAGCAACTAGAAATAATAAGGGATCAACTAGAAATGAAGAAAACATTGTCTGAAATAAAAAATATTACACAGAGTCCTAAAAACAGACTGGAAAATCGCAAGAATCAAGTCCTCCGCAGAAGCAAGAAGATAAGAGAATCCAGAAAGTTGAAGATAGTGTAAGAAACCTCTGGGACAATTTCAAGTGAATCAACATCAGAATTATGGGGATCCCAGAAGAAGAGAGAGAGCAAGATACCGAGAACATACTGGAAGAAATAGTGACAGAAAACTTCCCCAACCTGGGGAAAGAAATAGACTTACAAATCCAGAAAGCCTGCAGAATCCCAAACAAAAGGAATCCAAGGAGGACCACACCAAGACACATCATAATTAAAATTCCAAGAGCAAAAGACAAAGAGAGAATATTAAAAGCAGCAAGAGAAAAGCAGGTAGTTACCTATAAAGGAGCACCCATACGATTGTCAGCCGATTTCTCAACAGAAGCCATGCAGGCCAGACGGAAATGGCAAGAAATATTCAAGGTGATGAATAGCAAGAACCTACAGCCAAAAATATTCTACCCAGCAAAGCTATCACTCAGAATCGAAGGCCAGATAATAAACTTCACAAATAAAAAAAAAGCTAAAAGAGTTCATCACTGCCAAACCAGAATTATATGAATTGCTGAAGGGGGTTATTTAGGAAGAGGAAGAAGATAAAGATAAAAATTATGAACAACAAATATGTAACTATCTAAAAACAAGTGAATCTAGAAACCAAGGGAATTAAAAAATCTGATGAATAATATTAACTGGTGAATATAAAAGAATCAGAGGTATGGAAGGGGAGTGGACTGACGATTCTCGGGGAAAAGGAGAGTGGAGGTGTGGAAAGAGACTGAACAAAAACTATGCACCTATGGATGAGGACAATGAAGGTTGGGGAAAGGACAGAGGGTGGGGTGGGAACCTGGTGGAGGGGAGCAACTGAGGGGGGGGGGGGGAGGAACACAGTTGTAATAATCTGAATAAAGATTTATTTAAAAATAAATAAATAAATAAATAAACAAATATAATAAATATAAAAATAAAGTTTAGAATGTATCAAAAGGTAAATAAAGGTTTCTTGCTCAGGGAAACAAGAAAATGAAACATTACCATTTGTCTCCATGTTTTGTTTAATTTTACTTTTCTTTCTGATTTGTATCCCATAATTGCTCATGTATTCAAGTGCTTGAGGTAATTCAGAAAAAGAATTTTTTTACACCTGTTTCTACACGTAAGAGTTATATTTAATTATACCGAAGAGTTTACATTTAATTCAATCTTGTGGAGCAATCAGAAGGTAACCAGGCAGAAAAGGAAGGAAACAATTAAAGCAGACCTGAAGTCCTGGGGGAAAGCCAGGAAGCACTGCAGTGAGGGGTAAATTGAGTCCATGGAAGCATCTCAGCAGCCGGCACACAGGGATAGCAGATATGCATGGTTTCTTACCCCAAATCCATCCTCCCTTTGGTTTTACTAAAGGAACTTTACTAAAAGCAAATCCCTCATAAAAGTATATTCCAAATGCCCAACAGCTAAGGATGGCTAAGCAGTGTTAAGAGAAGTCACTGGGTTGGGATTCTTAGAAGGTTCTGAAAAGAGGATTTACTAATATTCTTGCTCTTCCCACTTCTTCTTGACAAAACACCAACAAGATAGCTAGAACACCAGTAGTAATCATGGACCATGAGGCATCTTTGGAGAAGAAACGCTTGCTAAAGATGGTGCATCTATCCGGTTTGGCTCAGTGGATAGAGCGTCGGCCTGGGGACTCAAGGGTCCCAGGTTCAATTCCAGCCAAGGGCATGTACCTTGGTTGCAGGCACATCCCCAATAGGGGGTGTGCAGGAGGCAGCTGATGGATGTTTCTCTCTCATCGATGTTTTTAATTCTCTATTCCTCTCCCTTCTTCCTTGTAAAAAAAATCAATTAAATATATTTTAAAAAGAATGAATGAATGAACCTAAGTCTCTGATGATTCCTGAGCAGCTTACAATCAGGACTCAATATGAAAAATACAAGGACAATTCTTGTAGCAACATGGAGATAAAGTGAAAAGCATCAGAGCACAGAGATAAGGAGGCAGGTTAAAAGAATCACATCAGTATAGGTCAAGGATGACAGGGACTTGAAGTAAAACAGAAAAGTTTCAAGAGATTTTCACAAATGTTGTAAGTAAAACTAGGGAGAAAACTGAGCATGTATAAGCAGCATGAGCTAGGGGTGGGGAAGAAAGGAAATAAAAAACATTACTAGATGGGTCAAAGAGGTACCCAACAGGCCAGGACCGGTTTGGCTCAATGGATAGAGCGTCGGCTTGGGGACTGAAGGGTCCCAGGTTCGATTCCGGTCAAGGACATGTACCTTGGTTGCGGGCATATCCCCGGTAGGGGGTGTGCAAGAGGCAGCTGATCGATGACACTCTCTCATCAATGTTTCTAACTTTCTATTTCTCTCCCTTCCTCTCTGTATAAAATCAATAAAATATATTAAAAAAAAAAAAAAGAGGTACCCAACAGCACAATCTACCAAGACTAATTCTAGAGGAACGGTGACTTTGTTTTGGATTTTGTTAATTTGGGGGATTTTTCTTAAGATGAGTTTTTGTGTGTGGTGATGTTCAATTTACTTTTAAGAGAGTTTGAGGAATCAGAATAATAATTAGGGAAGCTACATTTGTGTTGTTGCTTTTTAAATGTTACCAAAGGAGAACTGATATTCAGAAAAGCTATCAAGGATAGAAAATTAGAATTGAAAATCATATTATAGCCATAAACAAAAAAAGTAAATTTTAGTGTAATTTTAAAAGAATTATTAAAAGTCAGAGCACAGGAATGGTTAGCATTATGACAATAGATTTGTCCATTATCCATTCACAGATATTTGAACACCTACCATATGTCAATCACTATGGGTAGTTAAGTTCCAAATAGAAAACTTACATTCTAAAGATAGAGACAATTTTTAAAAATTAATAAATATGTAATGTTAAGTGCTATAAAAAAAATATTAAGTGTGTGACAGGACATTTTAGGAATCAAGGAAGTCTTCTTTGAGGTGGTGATATTTGCACAAAGAACCGAAGCAATGGAATGAAACATACAAATATATATTTATATAGAAAATATGAGTTCTAAGCAAAGTGTGAATTACAAAGGCCTTGTGGAAATAACTCCTGTGGCAGGTTCAAGTAACAGAAAGATGACCAGTAGGTATCAGGAACAAAATGAACAAGGTGGGGGAACAGAAAATCAGATAAGGAAGCGAGTGTCCACAGATTTTATCATAACTGTAATGGGAGCCTTTCTAGGAGGGGAGTAAGATAATCTGAACACATTTCACTTACTTGTGAAGAGTTAAGTGAGACAAAAGTGAAAAGAGAAAGACCAATTGTTAGAAGGCTATTATGGTTTCCCAGATGAGTCTGATGATGTTTTGGACAAGGAAGGAACAAAAGTGAAGGCACAGAAAGTAGTCAGATTTGGAGAGTTTTGATGTAGAAACTAAAGGACTTATTGATAGTTATAATGGAACTACAAGTCAAGGATAACTCAAAGGTTTTCTGTTTTTAAATCTACATTGATATAGTAACATAGCCATACCAGCTTTCTTGAGGTTATAGTTTCATGATATATTTTTTTCCTTCATTTACTTTGAAGATTTCTGAAGCCTTTATTTTACGATGCATTTCTAAATAGCATCAGTTGGGTTTGGTTATTATACCCAGCTTGATAATTTTGGTCTTAATTGGAACATTTAATCCACTGATATTAATGTTTTCTTCATCTACCTCTGCCTCCTGAATCCTTAACTTTTGAAGACAATCTCAAAATGCTACTTTTTGTGAAGTCTTTCCCAATGCCATACATGATCTTCCATTTCAATAATCAGATGTGAGCTCTCTTTCCTTTTAATCGCTATGGCATATTCTTTGTATCTCTCTTTTTATAATTGGGCTCTACTATTTATTAAAATGATTTGAGAATGTGTTTTATCCTCCCTATTTAGAATATAAAGTATCCAAAAAATAGACTGTGTCTTAATCATCTTTTTATCCAATAGACTAAATATAGTAAGCTAATTTTAATCTCAAATACATTTACTGAGTACCTCTTACGTGCAGGGACTGAGCTAGATACTCAATATAGGTCTCTCCTATTCACTACAGTATCCCTTCCATGTAGATTGATGACATCAACTATAAAATTGAGTATAAATTATGTTAGTTCATATAAAGATACCACTGGGCATGAACCTCAATATTCTATTCCAGGTACTAGACATATATACTAGTTACTAAATAAACAGCATGATTACCTTTTTTGAGTGTCATACTTAGCTTACTATTTCATTTGTAAATTTCAGTTTAAAATGTTATTCATAGTTCCTCAGAGATGAGTGCCATTATCATTCTAGAGTGTAATCAACTGTTCATTAGCTGAGACCCCCCTATACAAACAGAATTGAATATTTTTTAAGGTATATAGCCATGACTGATGCTCTATCCACTGACCCAAACCAGTTAAGGCAAGGAAATGTTTTATTTTTTTTTAAATATATTTGTAGAAGTGAAAACTTTATCTCTTTTACTTACCCAAAGTCAAATAATCTTCCATCTGGTATCCACTACAGCCAAGCATGTTAAACTCGTGGCTGGAAGGCCACATGCCTCTGTTAACTCATTGAAGTTCCAACCCTCTTAATGGTGTCTCTGTCTTTCTGGCAACCAGACCCTATCCTGAAGTTATCTAAGGGTCCCCAGCCACCAGTTACCTCATTAGCATTTTGGTAACATTTAAAAAAGACACTTGATAGGGTTTTAGAAGCTTTTATATCAGGAACTGGAATTAAAAACCAAATATTGTAACAAAAATACTCCTAGCCTATCACTCAAGAATTACAAGGGTTTTAGAAATTTTGTGTCAGGAACCAGGGCCAGAAACCAAATATATATATATATATATCTTTAAAAATATTCAATTCTGTTTGTATAGGGGTCCCATGTTCAATTCTGGTTAAGGGCACATGTCCAGGTTGCAGGCTCTATCCCCAGTGGGGGGCATGCAGGAGGCAGCCAATCAATGATTCTCTCTCATCATTGATGTTTCTTTTTCTCTCTCTCTCTCTCTCTCTCTCTCTCTCTCTCTCTCCTTTTTTTTCTCACCCAAGGGTATTTTCCATTGATTTTAAAAGAATTGAAGAGAGAGGGAAAGACAGAAACATCGATGGCAGAGAAACATATTGATTGATTGACTCCTGCACATACCCTGACCAGGGCCCAGACTAGGGCCCAGACCGAGAAGAAGCCTGCAATCCACAGAATTGACCAGAATTGAACCTGGATCCGATCAATGCTCTGTCCACTGAGCCAAACTGGCTAGGGCAACAGCTTTTGAAATCTTGCTCCCCAGGGCATGTCATCAGTTTGGCTCAAATAAACTCACAACAGTTCTCTACAGGTTTGGACATTTCTTACGTCGACAAGAGAAAGTCAGGTAGGCACTAATCTAAAAGAATGTAATAATCTCTGGGTTACTTATCATCCAGTTTTCTGAGATACAGATTCTAAGCTTATGTACTATCTAATCCATGATGCTTGTTTGAAATTTTTTTGAGAAAAAAAATTAAATATATAATTTCAAGTTAGGTTGTTTTAACTTTCTTAAGTGTACATGAAACTGCAACCTAGGTAATTATAAAAACTTAAAACAAAAAAGATAAAATTCTTCAGGTACCTCAACTTTGGTACCTCTGTGGTAGGAAGTTAGAGAGACATGAGCAGAGCAAGGACGATGGGCCAGGTACAAAAGGTCACCAGTGCAGAAAGTCCTAGGTGCCTAGCAAAAGACAACTGTAAGGTGGACCTTGCCCCCAAAGTGGCTTTTCCTCCCCTAGCATATCGCTGGTCATTCAGTTTAGACCTGCTGACCTTTCCTCCCTAGAGATAACATTTAGGCCTCAGTTGTATTTCAGCTCCAGGCCCAGAAAAGCAGAAAAACTAGATAAGTAATACTTCTGCTGAACTCAGGACCAGATGCATTAGATAATAACCTCCTGCCCTAGTGCTGACCAATCAACCAATCAATCAGTGGAGACCTAGACCTGAGATGACATACCTGCTGAATATTCTATTAAAATCTTGCCCTGGGACCTCCCCTAAAATCTACACCCTTAAAACCCTTAGGACTGAGGACTCAGTGTGCTCTCCCTCCAGAACACTGGCCTGCCTTTCCCTTCTCTCTCTCCTCCCCGCCCCAGGTGTATTACCTTTACCTTCCTCACTCCCACGCTCCAAGGGCCCTTCCTTTACCTCCACTTTGTTTCTTAAGTCCATTTCTTCTACAAATTATTTCTTCCTCTGCGATTTTATAAATAAACTAGATGCCTGATGCAAGAGTAGGCCTCCCTTCCCCCTGCTGCCGGCACTGGCTTCCCTCTGGTACCTGGCACCTGGACTGGCTTCCCCTGGGCCACCCGCAGGCACCTGGGATCTGGGTTAGCTTCCCTCCGGCCCGTTTTGTCTGGAAGGATGTCCAGAATGACATCTGGAAGATATCCGATCTAATTAGCATATTACCCTTTTATGATTATAGATGTTCTGATAGTTTGAGTCTTGGCTCTAAATTCTTTCCTTGCCAAAACTCAAGTACTGAGCCCTAGCTGGTTTGTCTTAGTAGATAGAGTATTGCCTGGGAGCTGAAGGATCCTGGGTTCAATTCCAATCAAGGGCACATACAGGGTTTCAGGTTCCATCCCCAGTAGGGGGCGTGCAAGAGGCAACTGGATGGATGATTCTCTCATCGATGTTTCTAACTATCCCTCTCTCATCTTCTCTGTAAAAAATCAATAAAATATATTTTTTTAAAAATTCAAGTACTGAGGTTGCTGAACCCAGGTCCAGTCTGACCCCACAGGTCTAACACCTAGTGCCCTTCCTACCACTTACAATACCTCCATTTGTGCTAACAGAAATTTAATAAATTATCCAATTGTGATATATTTGTCAGGTAAACAAAAGTCTAACTATAGGACTGAAAAACTGACACCAAAGTCCCAAGAGAATAGCTTTTAAAACTAAATTAAATGCCATGCTAAAGAGTTTCAAACAGCTTTTTTTCTCTATATTTATGAATTTATACAATAATCTGGAACTTCTGTGCTTTTGTTTATTCTTATGAAAAAAAGGCAGAAAGCAACAGAAGCATTTTTAGATAGTCATTTAGATGTAAACTGTCACTAACAGTTTATCAACATAAATATCCTTCTACCTTTGCAACTGAGATTCCATAGTCCTGGAGAGGTTTAACAGCCTTATTCAGTTCTTCAAGAAATACAGAGGTACTTGGAGAATCTAAAATAAGAAATGTTTTATGAATGTTTAATGATTTACCCCTTAAGAAAGATAAATTCTTAAAAGCAAAGTCTAACAATAAGGTCCCACTGAGCATACTGATTAAATAGCAATAGAAAGGTCACAAAAGTCAGAATATAAAAAATACTTACCAGCTTGACAAAAATAAGCTAAGGAGGCTTTTCCTGCTTGCAAGGTGCTAAAATATTTCTGAGGACTCAGTTCTGGTAGAGAGTTGACTGCTGACTTATAAACAATGCACATCATGACAAAAGAGATGCCAACTCTAAATCCATTGAAACTAAAAGACATCATCAGCTGTAGATATATATATAAGCAGGAGATTCAGTCTGCTTTGTTCACTGCTGTGCTCTGTTGCCTCAGACAATACCAGACAAGAGTAGGTGTTCAACAAAGTTTTGCTGAATTAATTTGTTAAATAAATGAAGTAAAGTCTGCAACAACAACAAAAAATAATGACATTATTTTTATATATTTGATTTTGATACTTTATTATTCCTTTCTAGAAAATATCTGAAAGATGATATATAATGATATTGATTTGATAATGCTATTGATTTTTGAAACTTGCAAAAGATATCAAGAAAATGTAACATACTAAGTATTTTAAGTTTAATGGATAGTTACTCAAGTTTGTGAAGCTAATTATCATTTTTAAGGGTTCTAAAATTTATTCTCTAACATCTAATTAGAGAATAAATTTTAGAACCCTTTTTAAATTGGGCATTTTATCCTTCCCTACCGAGAGTGGATTTACAATTAACATACACAATAGCTATTTTATACCACTAACATGGGAGTGAAACATCAAAATATATGTCTACTACGTTTACATTCTTTTTACTTTAAACCCTCTAGCTATTAAACTACTTAACAGTCCTTAATACACATTTTTAATGCTCAAGACTTTGACTTATTTATACAGCTTAGAAATTCAAATATCTTTTCAAATCATTTCTCTTTTCTGAACTCAGGTTTGTTCTAGATATCCTCCTCTCATCTTTCATGCTGTACTTACTTCCACGCTGTCCTCTGTATCTGCTTTCAATTCTCTTCTGTTTTTGCTACTTTCACGTTTCTCTTAAACAATATCTTCTTTCAGGAAGCTCCTCCATTGATAATCTATATTACCTATGTTTAAAGAAGATAGGAAAATTTGCATAATATAAAAATATAGTTCTAGAAAGTAAACATATACCCACAGGTATTGGTGAGAATTTTGCTTTTTTTTTTTTTTTTTTAAACAAAAGAGCACTATCTTAAAACAGGACACAGAGAGAAAAAGCAAAAATTGCCCATAAGGATAGGGGTAGAATTTTTCCATAAATAAAATTATAAAAGAATGAAAAATTTAGGAAAAATTTATAGTAAATTGAATATTTACTCTCGTCTTTCAATATTATCAATAAGCATATAATACTTCTCCCTGCAAAGTAGGTATATCTAAAAAAGGAAATAATTACTCATGATTACTTTCTGATATTCTTTTCATTAGAGCTAATTTATACCAAACAGTGAATGAATTTGCCATCAGTTTTTAATAATGAGCCAAGAGTTCAAAACTCAAGTAGAATGACGACTGGGACTGTGAGCAGTATCTTAAAAAAAGTAATTTTAATGATCTAATTAAGGGGTATCCTTGACATTAAAATTGATTCTACATTACAGCCATTTTAAGGCAGCATATTTTAAAGTGACTTTATATTAATGGGAATGGTTTAAAATAGGTCATCCAAGATTTTCTTTATATTCTGGAGGTGGGGAAAATGTATGCATCCTAAGACTAAGGGAATAATTATATATTAATGAAGTAACTCCAACCTAGGTAAAAGGTAAAATATTTAAATGAAAGCACAATTGAAAGAGTCAATATAAAATATCATTCTTCCTGTCTTTGTGGTTAAAATCCAATTATTTTAACACTAAACTGGACATTAGGATTAACATAAGATTCTTTTCCCCTAGAATAATGTCGGCAAACTGCAGCTGGCGAGCCACATGCGGTTCTTTGGCCCCTGAGTGTGGCTCTTCCACAAAATACCACGGCCTGGGCAAGTCTATTTTGAAGAAGTGGTGTTAGAAAAAGTCTAAGTTTAAAAAATTTGGCTCCCAAAAGAAATTTCAATCATTGTACTATTGATATTTGGCTCTGTTGACTAATGAGCTTGCCGACCACCGCCCTAGAATGTATTTTGTAGCACCAAAAGTTCTAACTGCACATTCAAGACTTGAATACTTTCCCTCATCTATCATTGGACAAATGAGATTACACGTGTCAAAGTACTGTGAATTTGGACAATTAGTGATGATGCTGATTATTCTTACATATTCTTAGAGATAAGCACTCGTAGGCATCCTGGCAGTTTATCCCATCTTTAATAAGCAGTCTCCTTAAAGCAGAGACTGCTGCGCAAGTCAACTTGAAATAGAATTTATATGGTCATAATAAAATAAATACTGAGTAATGATACAGCCAAATCTATGGCAACCACAGTTGAGAAGATGGGAGATAGAAAGTAAGGCTTCATGCAGACAGGGTGAGAAAAGGGGTAAAAGAGCCAAATACTGATCTTTCACAAGACCGAAAGCCAAGTTTATTAGAAGCAGGAATATCAATGCCCAAAGCAAGTTGAAAGTAACTGTCTTTAAGGAAGGAGACATTAGATGGAGAAAGACACCAAAGGTATTTTGTAAAAAATATATTTTTATTGATTTATTTTTATAGAGAGGATGGGAGAGGGATAGAGAGAAGCATTAATGATGAGAGAGAATCATTGATCAATTGCCTCCTCATGCCCCCTACTGGGGAGTGAGCCAAAACCCAGGCATGTGCCCTTGGCTAGAATTGAACCTGGGACCCTTCAGTCTGTGCAGGCCTATACACTATCCATTGAGCCAAACCGGCTAGGGCAGAACCTTCTTTAAACAGTGCATCTTTGCACTTTAGCTTCTACTCATATTAGCTCAATCTCCTCGTGGGGCCACAGAAGAATGTTCATTGCACAAGAATAAGATGCCTTTGTCCAGAGACATGATCTCCTCATAAAAAGATATTTAAACTAAAGAGAAGGTAAGTGTGGGTGGCAAGTGGTGGGGAAAGAGAACACACAGCGAGAATAGAGTAGTAAAAACAAAGATACAGAAGGTACTTGATGACTTTTCCTCCAGTTATTAGGAAATGGAATAGAAAACAGTACTTTAATGCTTCAAAACTAAAAAATCAGAACAAAGTGATGACTACTACTATCTTGAGAGAAATGTGACCTCATCAATTTGTTGAGGTAGCTCATTAGCATGTTTTCCTGGCAGGTATAATGTAGGATTACACTGATTGCTTTCCTATACTTCCCATCTCTAGCGAAGTTTGAGATCACCATGTGACTTATTCTGGCCAATAAAATGTGAGCAAATGTGGTATGTCCCTTTCAGGCAACAGTTTTAACTGTATAGTGTGCAATATACCAGGCTTTATTTTCTTTGTCACGGTCACTAAAAATGCTCAAGTGGTGGCTGTCATCAGCATCAGTCGCAGAATGCATACAACAAAGAGAACCCACAACTGATATGCAATGAGCATGTGACATAGGAAGAAATAAACCTTGTCTTAAGTCACTGAGATTTTAGGACATTATTGCAGAACAATCTAATTTATCTTCATTGATACACAAACAAAAGTGACATCTGCCTTAACAAGAACTCCAAAATTAGGGATCAAGCAACAAGGAATCTCCCCATTTTCCCTTTCCCCCCAAGGAAACTTATCAGAGATGGGAGCTCAGCAAATGATCCACAGTAAGGAGTAACAAAACATTTGATGAAACTGTCACCACAATAATTTACAAGTGGCGCATACCTAATGAATTTATGAGCATGTATCTGGGGGACTAATGGACGTATTTATACCCTAAGAGAAGATGCTAGAAGACTGGAAGATGAGAACCGTGAGAGAGTTGCTGTTGGTTGTGGCTAATGAGATATGAGAAGACAAGTACTCAAAGAACCACCATCCAAGAGACTAATGATTAAAACCTTCAAATAATCCTTTAGTCCCCACCTTTGTGGGGTCAGGCAGTAAGCTGAGAAAACTGCTCAGCCATGGGAAGAGCTCATAATCTCCAAAGCCAACTTCAGATGTGGTCAAGGATAATAAAAATGAAAGGGACCTCTTGCAGGGCCAAGCCAAGGACCACGGAGAACTATGCCCTAGAGCAGTGGTTCCCAACACGGGGCTCATTTGAATGAGTTATTAACAGTGAATTGTTTGCATCGTATGATCCTAAGGGCCTCATATACAGATCATAAATATGTATTGTGACATGTTTATGCATTTCACCTCTCTATTATGTTTTGAAACTGTATTTGCTATTTTCTCATATCACTTTTTATTATTGTTTTTAAATAATTTCTTAGTGATTTCTTCCTCAGTACTTCAATTGTCCTTTAATTCTTTTTTTTTTTTTTTTCCTTCATGGATGCCATGTTCTTTGGAAGCTTGTTTAAACCAAGTAAATGCCTTTTAGGCTTCCTCCATGTGAACAGGAGTTTGCTTTTTGAATAATAAGAATTATATGTCACAGGGGGAGCATCAGGATTTTAGAAAGGTTTAGGTGGGACATAGCCAAAAAAGGGTTGGGAACCACTGCTCTAGAACATGTGTCAGCATACGAACTACAATACGAACTACAATAATGAGATCAACATAGAAATTGAGTGTAATGTTTAGAAGCTTTTATAGCAATTTCACACATTTGCAAATAAAATGCTAAGGGCAACAGAAGTTTTTGTTTGGCACCAAAATAATGAAAGAGGGATGAGGAGGATGTACCTCAAGGGAAAGACACGGATATTCCCGGTAGTGAGGGCAGGGGGCAGGGATTCACCTGCATGCGCTCTGTAGACAGGTGGGGCAGCTGGTGTCCTCTCCAGCCAGAGCAATCCCATTTTGAAATTGGGTCCCGCATGTAATACTCGGCAAATGGTTCAGCTTTAAATATTTGAAAGGCCATTGTGCTAAAGGAATCTGCCCTCCTAGAATAACAATATCCAACCACTGTGCATGTGGACACATTTCCAGTTTTAAAATATCTAGCAACAAGCTTTCCTAGAAGGCTACTGATTCATTTGCCTTTTACAGGCCTAAATTCCCATTTTGATTAACCAAACAACTGTTTTTCCCTCTCAACAAAAAGAAGAAATTGACAACTGTAAACATTAAACAAATTATACCAAGATCTGTGGGCATCATTCTCTGGGAAAAGGACATGGTTCATATTTTGCAACAAACGGGGCACTTGATGCTTACAAAGTTCCTGTAAGAGTATTTTGTCAAAAATTAGCTTACTTAAGGTTTAATGCTGCTACTGTAGAACAGAGCCTGCTCAATGAACCAGCCTCAAATAAAATGCTGATTAGATCTCATCTCAACTTATCATTTAAGAACCAAAGGAGTCAGCATCGTCAACATCTCTCTACAGCCCTTTCAAGACGGTTGGGGCAAAATCCTTTCTCTCCATCCCCACCCCCTAGCACACGCACACCTAAAAAAGGAGAAAAGAGGAGGGTATCCACAGGTTGCCATCTCTATTGCCAGTAGGAGGCCTGTAGGAGGCAGCCAATCAAGGATTCCCTCTCAGCATATCTCTCTCTCCCTCTCCCTTCCTCTCTGAAGTCAATAAAAATATATTTTTTTAAAAAGAGGAGGGTATCCAGAGTTGCAATGACACTAGAATAAAAAGTCTTACAATCAAAGACCTAAAACTAGTATGGATCCAGGTGTTAAGTATCATTTTAAGTAGGTAATGTATAGGAGAAAAAGAAAAAACAACCTTCATGGCAAAAATTTATTCATGGCTGTAAATTTGCACCTCATTGATTAGAAAAGATACAAAAAACAGGCCATGCTGAAACCGGTTTTGCTCAGTGGGTAGAGCATTGGTCTGCGGACTGAGGGGTCCAGGGTTCGATTCCCGTCAGGGGCATGTGCATTGGTTGTGGGCACATCCCTGGTGGGGGGTGTGCAGGAGGCGGCTGATCGATGTTTCTGGCTCTCTGTCCCTCTCCCTTCCTCTCTGTAAAAAAAAAAAAAAAAAAAAAATCAATAAAAAATAAAAATAAAATACAGGCCATGCCAGAGAATAGGACATTCCCCTGATTTTGACAAGTGCCTCAAATCACATAAATCTGAATTCATGCTTAATTTATGTGCTCCAGCACATAACTGCAATCAGTTAGCTCAGTTGCCATTGAGCACGGTCCCCCTCAAGTATTATAGAACTGTACCGCCTTAACCACATGCGCTAGGAATCCATTAGGTTCATTTCTAACACTCCAATAAACATGTGATCCTTCTCAAAAGCGTTGTTGGATTAGGCCTGTTAACCTCTTTACAGCAAGTTGTACCCGACTGTAGGCTGCACTGCACAACTGCTCAGCTGACTGTTTCACCTGTGAGATACCACATAACAGCTCCAGGCCTACACACCTATCACAGTTTGTCAGCACACCTATACAGAATCCCAAACAGCCCCGCTGGTGTGGCTCACGGGTGAACCAGGAAGTGGAGGTTGGATTCTGATCTGGACACATGCCTGGGTTGTGGGCTCAATCCCCAGTAGAGGGCAGTGAAGGAGACAGCCAATCAATTATTATTCTCTCTCATCATTGATGTCTCTCTCTCTCTCCCTCTCTCTTTCTTCCTCTCTCCATCCTCCCTCCCTTCTTCCTCTCTGAAATCAATTAGATAGAGAGATCTATAGATGGAGATGTACATGGAGATGGAGAGATAGAGATAGAGATAGAGATAGAGATAGAGATAGAGATAGAGATAGAGAGATAGACCTAGAGCTAAATATAGAGATAGAGAGGTGATAGAGATAGAACCTAAAACACACCAGCATCCAGTGCCTGGAGTTCCAAACAGACTTTAAAATTCTCTGTGGGTCACTAACTAGGAAAGAAGGTAGCAACACTCTTCTTGGGTGAAGGATAATGAAACAGGAAAGGCTAGGTCTTGGCTGCGTCAATAACTGTGCCAGGACCTTCCAGATACTGAATGGGTGGTGTGCCGCTCCTTCGGAGAAGAATACAAGTTACTTCCTCTTCATAATACACCATTCTGCTCATTAGCAAACACACACACAAAAAAAGTCAAGAAATGTTATGTGTCAGCCAATACACGTTGGGAGACTGATGCATTCCTCGCTCATTTGCAGCAGTGACAGGACATTTGCTGGGTGTCTCCGAACCCCAACCTCTCCCTTCACCATCTACCACAGACGAGACGGAGGCTCGAAGAACACATGTGGAATTAGGGAGCACAGACCATTCCACTTCCTCCTCTCTGGAATCCATAAAAGACACAGAGTTCTATTTCTGCCTTTTTCCTCCACTTAAGCCCAGAGCATCTGTCTAAATTCTAAGCAAGGTTTCAAAGGGCCCCGTTCCCCCTTTCTCGCCTTGCTTGGACACCCATCTCATCCTAATATAATACCATATTCTTCTTGAAGGGCAGCTCCCGAGGAAGGAGCGAGTCCTACTCAGAACGCGGGTTCCCCCTTCGCCCCATTCCATTCCCTCTCCCTCCAAGGGCTCACGTTCTCCTCGCCGCTCAAGCCGGGAAAGAAGCGAGCAAGACGCTCCTCTTCCTCCCGCCTTCCTCCCCCCCAGAACCCCGGGGAGGCCTTTTGTAAACCAAACTCGAGCTCAGCGGGGCGGCCCTTGCTGGGGGGCAGCCGCCTGTGCGGATCCCCATTCCTGCAGGCGGAGAGCAAAGCCCAGGCCCGGAGGACCCGCGACGCCACCTACCTGCCTGCGCGCGGCCGGGGAAGGAGCGGCAGAAGGCGGGCCTGGCCCCGCTCGCCCCGCAGCCTCACTCGCTACGCCCACTTGCGGGAGTGCAGCGCCCACAGCCGCCGCCGCTCAGTAAGACACACTCACACACACAACACACAGACACACAAACACACAACACACAACCCCGAAGGCTCCTCCCGCTCCTCGTGCTCCCGACGTGAGACCCCCCCTCCAACCAATGGGAAGCGCAGGGGGCGGAGCGAGACCCGCCCCAGGCGGCGGGCGACCCCCGAGTCCTCCCGCCGGTGTGAACGGGGCCGTGCAGTTGCTGGGCCAATCGGCAGTGTGGGCGGGGCGTGCGCGGCCGGGAGACGGAGGAGAGCGCGGGCGTCCAATCAGCGCGTGGAGTCCCCGGAGCGACGGGCCCCGCGGCCCGTGGGCGTCCGAGCTCGGCGTGCTGGGGGCGTGCCCGCCTGGCCCAATCGGCGCGGGCCCGAGGTGCGGAGCGAGCGCCTCAAATGCTCGGGTTTCTCAGCTGATTGTCTCCAGCCGAGAGTTGTTTTTTGCAGCTCCCGAGCGAAGCCGCAGCAGGAGGAGCCGCGACCCCCGGGGGCGGGGAGGGCGGGGGCGGGCGGGGAGAGGAGGCGGGGTCTGGGGAGCCGCGGCTGCCGTGCGCGGGGCTCCGGGTCCTCCGGGTCCTGTCACGGCGCTGCCTGGGGTTGGAGGTTAGGGTGGGTGGTGGGTGGGGGGGGTGAGGCACCCCATCCTTCTCCCCCCTCGACGGCAGCCAGCCCCGAGCCCTGCCCCTTCCTTCCCGCGCGCCCTCGCCCTCCTTCCATAGCCCCCTCATGAGGGTGCCCGTGCCGGGTCCCGTGGCCGCCGCCGCCGCCGCCGCCGCTCCGGTGGCCGGCCGCGAGCCCCCGACGCCGGGCCCGGGCGGCGGAGGGGAGGGCGCCGTCGCGGCCGCCGCGGTGCCGGGCTCGGTGCAGCTGGCGCTGAGCGTCCTGCACGCCCTGCTCTACGCCGCGCTCTTCGCCTTCGCCTACCTGCAGCTGTGGCGGCTGCTGCTGTACCGCGAGCGGCGGCTGAGCTACCAGAGCCTCTGCCTCTTCCTCTGCCTCCTGTGGGCAGCGCTCAGGACCACCCTCTTCTCCGCCGCCTTCTCGCTCAGCGGCTCCCTGCCTCTGCTCCGGCCGCCCGCCCGCCTGCACTTCCTCCCGCACTGGCTGCTCTACTGCTTCCCCTCCTGCCTCCAGTTCTCCACGCTCTGTCTGCTCAACCTCTACCTGGCGGAGGTAAGGCGAGCGCGCCCCCACCCCTCCCCCGCGAGTGACTCGGGCTGAGGGTGGGAGGGGGGGGGGTAAGGCGATGAGATGCAGACCCCAGACCAGTCTGGGGAAACTGAGGCACGACTGGAGTGCTCGCCCTAAACTTGAGCAGCTGATGGATTGACTCGGTTGCTGAGGGGCTGGGGGTGCAGGGAGGGAGGGAGAGAGTACGAGTGTGTGTTCTCCCAACTTAAGGCTGCATGCAGGACGACCCCTTTGTTCGGGGTTCCAGCCCTCGGAGGTAAGGGGTGGGTGGCTTCGCCAGAAGGAGCAGCCCCCCCCCCCCCCCTCGGTAGCTCCTCCGCCGAAGAAGCCAGAGCCGGGACTGTGCTGAGAAAGGTTGGATGCTGAGGTAGCAGCAGCTCTGCCGGAGCTGGACTGCCGCCAGCCATTACGTCACCAGGCAGAGAGCTGTGCCTCTGCTATTGTTGCTGCGTTTCTTTTATTAGAAGCTTATATTCCCTCCCGCATCGCCTTCCCTGTGGCTCCAGAAGCCTCGCACAGGATTCCGTTCGATAGTTCCCCAGCAGGGTGCATAATCAATAGCCAATGCCTGGGGTCAATAGGAAGACCTCCATAAAGCCCTTCATCATATTTGCCCCAGATGCTTCATGCTTTGGCTATTTTTCCTACCTCTTGCAGCCTAGTCTCTCTCTCTCTCTCTCTCTTTTTTTTTTTCTTTTGAAGCTAATTAAGAGAGAAGACTAGCTGATCCTGTGCCTATTGCAGAAACAAACCACCAAACTGTTTTTTGCAATAACTTGTTTAATAGCTGGAAGCTAATCACACCCCCTTTCTCTTTTATGGGGAATTACTGGTTGGATTGCATTGTTCTGAGGAGCTTAGGTATTTGACCCATTTCAAACAGGTTTGGGAGTGTAAGGTTGTCAATCATGTGTGTCAGTTAGTGGTATTTAAGCCACAGAATTTTGAGAATTGTCCCAAAAGCCCCCCTCCCCATCCTGCAAAAAAAAAAATAGCTTGAGGAGGGGAGGGAGCAAGGTGACATCATATACTTAATACTGACTAATATAGAACAATATTGGTCTATGCAGCTAATCCTCACAAAGGCTTTGGGGGTGATGAGAATTAACATAGTTATCAGCAAAAGTAAAAACATTTGATGCAGAATCAGTGATTATATTTCCTGCATACATAAACCAACTCTTTCCTCCCATAGTAGATAGGACGTAGAATGCATAATTTTTAAATCCAGTCCTAACTTCAGCTTTTTAGCACGCTAAAAGCAATAGTTGAAAATATGTAATAAAACATTAACTTTCATTCTTTTCCTTCTCCCCACCCCCTCCTTTGGAAGTCCAAGCAATACAATGTCTAACAACCAACAGTAAAAAAGCATAAATAAAAAGCATGGGTAATCATAAATCAAATCATGCCATAGTCATGTCACTTATTTGATGAGGTCTTGATCTTCTAGTTGTTATTTGAACTTTAATTATCTCTGTCCTTTGCAGTAAAACTGAAACATTGTATTCTTCCTGACACCATTTCTGATACAGTACCAGTGACCTTTCTTCACTGAAGCTTTAATCCAGCTTTAGATATAATCTACCTGTATGTGATTAGCAATCCTTATGCCCCTGAGCATCAGATAAAGTATTTTCCCCTATACATGTTGACATATATAATTATATTAATGATCCACTACAAAATAGTTGGTAGGCATTTAATAAAGAGCTAAACACTTTTTTTTTTTTTTTTTTTTTTTTTTTTACTTTTTTCTTGTGGCATCACATATATCGTAAAGTGCTCAAATCTTAAATGGATAGCTAGGTCTAGCCTTGCCTGAGTAGCTCAGTTGGTTAGAGTGTTGTCCCAATACCCTAAGGTTTCAGGTTCAATCCCAAGTAGGGCAATATAAGAATCAACCAATAGATGCATAAATAAGTGAACAACAAATGGATGTTTGTCTCTCCCTCCTGTTAAGCCCTAGCTGGTTTGGCTCAGTGGACAAAGTGTTGGGCCCACAGACTGAAGGGTCACAGATTTGATTTCAGTCAAGGGCTTGAACTTCAGTTGTAGGCTCCATCCCTGGTCCCCAGGTGTGGGAGGCAACCGATTGCTGTGCTCTCTTACATCTATTGCTATGTCTCTCTTGCATTGATGTTTCTCCCCCTTCCCTTCTACTCTTTCTAAAAACAAACAAAATCAATGGAAAAATACCCTTGGATAAGGATTGACAAAACACACACATACACAAAACAAACAAATGTACTCTCAAAATAAAATTTGAGAATAAAAAAAAATTTTATCGTGCAGAGCTAGGTGAAATTTTACATATGGACACACTCACGCTACCACCACCAGATTAAAATATACAGTATGTCCAGTGCCCCAGAGGTTCCCTTGTGCTCTCTCCCAGTCATACCTTTCACCCTGACGTAAACACAAAGTGGCTAAACACTATAATTTAGTTCAAAATTCTAAGAGCATGCTTCTACACACAATGAACTACACAATAACTAGCTTGAGTTTTAAGATTTTTCCCCCCTGATATTCCCAGCTAGTGAGGAAGAACTTAAATGTCTAAAAGTCTTCCTGTTTAATGAATCTTGTTTGTGTGGTGTACTTTTTAAAAAGCAATAAAACTCTATTAACCTAGAAATATAATTTGGAAAGTTATATACAATTATATTTGGAAATATAATTTGGAAAGAAGCTGGACTAAAGCTTCTTCCTTTTGTAGTGTCTCTTAAGAGTGGAGGTTGTTTGTGCTTGTCTTTTTATAATAAAACTAGGGGTCCAGTGCATGAAATTTGTGCACGGAGGGGTGTCCCTCAGCCCAGCCTGCACCCTCTCCAATCCAGGACCCCTCAGGGGATGTCTGACTACAACCTTTCAAAATCCGGGACCACTGGCTCCTAACCACTTACCTACCTACCTGCTTGCCTGTGATTGCCCCTAACCCTCTCTGCCTGCCAGCCTAATGCACCTAACGGCTCCCCTGCCAGCCTGATCACCCCCTAACTGAGCCTCTGGCCGCTGGACAGCCACCATTGGCGGCTTCCCTGAGCCTTAAGCCGCTGCAGCTTTGTCCAGAAGGACGTGCGGAAAGTCTCCCAGTCTAATTAGCATATTACCCTTTTATTAGTATAGATTAACGATTTTATAACACATTACTGTACTTAAAAGAACACATTTTCAACCTGTTAAAAAGGTATCTTAACCAGAAATAATTTTCTTATTCATTAGAAAAAAAATCAAAGAAGCATCTGTACTTAAAAGAATATTTGAATTCAAATTTTTGTATCAATTTCAAGGAACTGAAAGTACTCTTTCCATTGATTTTTCTGAATTAATGAAGCTTTCCCAGTGAGTTCTCCAAATTCTGAGTGAACAGAGTGGTAGAGAAAGTCTGTGTGGTGACAAATACAAAACAACTAATATTTTATTTTCTTTGTAATATATTTTTAAAATTATTCCAGAGAGGAAGAGAGAGGGAGAAAGACATAGAAATATTGATGATGAGAGAATCATTGATCGCCTGCCTTCTGCACACCCCCTATTTGGGATCAAGCCCTCAAACCAGGCCTGTGCCCTGACCAGGAATCGAACCATGACCTCCTGGTTCATAGGTCGCTGTTCAATCACTGAGCCATGTAGGCCAGACATATTGCTTTTTTTGTTTTGTTTGTTTTAACTAAAGGTCCTATAGCTATTTTGAATAGGTGTGCTTCTTGATTATCAAATCACTGTCTTCCCTTCTGTCATATTAAATACCAATTTTACTTTACTGTTGATCTCTTTAAATCATGTGTTGTATCCACTTCTCACTAATTAAAAACATTCTAACTTTAAGGGCTTAGTTACAAAGAATGACTGGGCAGTGTAAAAATGAAGTTAGTGAAACAATTGTTACAACTTAGAACATATGTTGGTGGTTCTTCTAGAACCCATTGCATTTTCAAAAAGTTAAGACTGCCCGAACCACACTTTGTTTTGTTGACTACACTTGAATAGAATTGAGAAAAAAAGTAGCACTTCCTGAAATAATTAGACTTTTTAACCATTATATTTAACCTCCAGAAGACAGATAGTTGGAAAACAAAACCTGTACACTAATCTGAAAACACCTGTTAAACTTTTTCTGGCATGATCCATAGAACATTTACCAGGTGTACCAGTTAATAATGCAGATTTTGTAATCAAAGAAAACACGATAATTTCAAGAGAAATATCAGAAATGCTTTATTCAAAGTAATGTTCATTGCTAGCTACACATTTCTCCCATCTTTCAGGTAATTTGTGAATACCATCCCAATAGAACTTTTTTTGTTTTGAGGCAAACCATTCAGAGATCCAATTTTCTACTTCTTTGTACATTTTGAAGTGCTGCTCAGAAAGTGCATGTTCAATTGATTAGAAGAAGTGGTAATCTGAAGGAGCAAGGTCTGGTGAATACAGCGGGTGCTTAATACTTCCCAGGCAAGATCTTTTAACGTGTCTTTAACTGGTTTTGAAGTGTGTGATGGCGCATTATCACAACGCAAAATTACTTTGCAGTGTCTTCTGACACATTCAGGTCATTTCACGATCAAAGCATGGTTCAAATTGATTATTTGTTGTCGGAGGCGATCAATATTAACTGTTTCACCTGGTTTTAGAAGTTCATAATACACCACACCATCCTGATCCCACCAAACGCAGAGCATTGTCCTCTTTCTGAAGCAATTTGGCCTTGCAGTCGATATTGATGGTTGACGTGGATCAACCCATGATTTTGTACATTTGGGATTCTCAAAATAAATCCACTTTTCATAACCAGTCATAATTCAATGCAAAAAAAAGACTTTTGTGCCATTGAAACAACATTTTACTGATGACTTTCGGTTTCCATTTGTCTTTCATTCAGTTGATGTGGCAGCCATTTTCCTTCCTTTAAAATCCTTCCCATTTCTTGTAAAGGATCAGAAACTGTTTGCTGTTTAATCTTTCTGCAAGTTGTT